TTGAGAATGATGAGGGCAATGAATGTACAAATGCGCTTTACACAATTGATATATGTATGGATTGTGATAAGAGTTGTATGAGCCCCTAATAAAATGATTTTTAAAAAATGTTTTTTTTTTAAAAATGAAGGTTTGGTAAGATTCCCAACCACAATCTTAACTGGATGAATTGTACTACTGGAAGCTAAGGACCATACCTCTTGATCTCCTTTGAAGTCCAACATGTAAATTTGGCATAAGTAATGATAGGAATTAGTGAAGAGAGGTGATTGTGAGTCCAAAATGTTGTAGCACCACTGAATTTGTCCACCTGCTATATTTCAAGAGTTGAGATAATCAGATGAAATATTCTATCATGCATGGAGGTGCAAAAGAAGTGACATCACAAATGAGTACGGATAGTGAGCACAGTGTGGTTCAGTCAACAAACACGCGTTTCTACCATGTGTGTTGCTGTGCTAAACAATGGAGTTTCAAAGATGAGCAAGTCACAAGTTAAGGCTGTGTGAAATTGGGCAGGGTTTAAATCAGGAAAAAAGGTTTTAAATATTAAGTAATACATTCAAGGATTTAAGGAGCAAAGACACAGAGAAAGGAAATAGTATGGTGTCTAAGGACAAGCACAAGCAGTTCAGTAATACTCGAGCAACCATTTACAATCTTGGCTGCCCAGTAGTTACTCTGGAGAACTTTAAACATAAATAAACAAAGCCTATGTCCAGGTTCCATCCAGACTAATGAAATCCAAACCTCAGGAGAGGGAGCACAGGCACTGGTAATTTTTAAAAATCTTCCTAGATTATTTTAGTGCAAATGGGTCATCATGTATGAAGTCGGATTTTTCTATGAGATTGTGTAGGTTTTCCATCACAAAGCCTCTTTAATAACAACTATATTGACTAACTCTTAGGGTTGTTATAGAGACAAAATATAAAGGTCGTTGAAAATGCTTTTTTAAGCATAAATTTTATCAAAATGCACAATGATATTACCTCTCCCTCCAGACGGAGAGCTTTTTGAGCACAGCGATTTTCGGGGGTTAATCTTTTTATCTGCACAGTTCTGGCATAGAATCTGTCACACAAGAGATGTCCACTATATGCTTTCCAAATAAATGAATGAACAAATCAACAATGCAGTTAAACACATTTTGAACTAAGAAACAGCACTGCAACAGAAAAAAAATGATTAAAGAGAGTGTATGTTTATGGTTTATATTTTAAAAGAGTTTATAAAAGGCATTTGAGCTGAAGTTAAATTGATTTACGGCAACTTTCAAACAAGATGTGACTGAACCTTAAAAATATGTACAGAAACAGGTCCTTGATTTTGTGTGTTCCAGTTGAAAACACGGCTTGGTGCAAAGACAATCTAAGCAATAAGAGATTTCCAGAAATAAGAGAGTCAATATTTGAAATCAGAGCCCAGGGGACTTCTTGGAAAGCAACGGCATTTTCTTTGGAGCCTCCGACTTTAATTTTTTAAGATGGCATGACTTTGAACAAAATCAGATGTGCATATTTAAAGTGATTTACAAGCTATAAATCTAAGTGAAAATGTTGCTTGCTTAGGCTATGGGTGTGGCAAGGCAAATGATAATGCATTTTCACTATGTCTTTTTCAATTTTAAAGCTTTGCTAGTTAGAGTCTGATGGTCCATGGAAGAACAAATAATCTAGAGATGATTAGGGGCCCATTTCAAGGTGGGTTGAAACTGAAATGATGGGAGTTAATATGTTGTTCATTAGCCTTGCTTATACTTCATTTCTTTTTAATTTTTTTGCTTTTCTTTTTCCCCCCTTTTTTATTAATTGTTTTATTAGGGGCTCATACAACTCTTTTTAAAAAATAATTTTATTAGGGGCTCATACAACTCTTATCACAATCCATACATACATCAATTGTGTAAAGCATATTTGTACATTCATTGCCCTCATCATTCTCAAAACATTTGCTCTCCACCTAAGCCCCTGGCATCACCTCCTCCCTTCCAGCTCCCCCCTCCC